TGTGTGTTGTTGTCCACCGACTACTTTTGTTCCTTGTTCTCACTGTGTTCTACTCGATTGGCCTTTGAACTGGTGCGAGGGATTGATTGTGATTTCCCAAAGCCTAATTGAACTGTGCATAAAGAATGACCGATGTGGTTTTCACAAAAATGGACGTGATACTTGCCCAGGTAACTGGAACGAGAACCCACACCTTGTCCGCAGCCATAAGTCTTTAAAGTGTCCAGTGAACTTCAACCGCGCACAGTAGGAGTGCCATCATCATACGGTTAGATTAGAGGTAACAACAAGAGCATCACAAACATTACGAACCGGTGATCAGTCAGTCTTGTGTCAGTTTGAGGTAATCTGTGTTGTGTATATCGTGAAAAATGATCCAATCAGATCGCATAGAGTCAGGGAGAATCTAATTATTTAAGGTCACGATTGAGAGGGAAAAGACTATGTGCAACGACGGAGCAATCGCACTGTACAATGTGTAACAAGATTTCAGGGGTGCCTGAATGTTTAGATTCAGGTTTGATCATGCTTACGCATCTGCACCGTCCTGATTTCGATTAGATAAATCTCATAACTGATACGAATGATACTGATGCAGTTGTAGTTACGAATAATCAATATTTTGTAAACTAAAGATTGAGTTTGCAGTTTATTCTGCGGTATGACTGTAGCCATTATCTGACCACACTCTAAAAGAACCATTTCCTTAGATACTGTGGCAAAAAATAATGAAAATAATAGCAGTTGTTGAAGTGAACTTGTACTCCTATTCAGTAGAAGAAAGTCGTGCTTAGGAGAAAAGCTTCCTCCAGAATCATAAACAAAATTAAAAATCCGTAGTCCAGTTCACTGCATGAATATGATTGTCAAATGAAACCCCATTCTTTTGAAATTATGACTGAATTTGATCCCGTATCTCTTCCGTTTTCCCGCTCTATCACTGCCTGTCAAGGTTCAGGAGAGAAACAAATCGGTGGAGAAATTGAAGGAGGAACTGGAGTATGTGCAGAATCAACAGATAAAACAACGAGAACAGGTAGGCTTCTCCTCACTCAAATACTCACGCCACACAGACTCCGCAGAGTCTTCACTTTAGAGCACATAACTGGTCTGATGCATATTTTTGAAGAGAGGGCACAGCAAGAATAGGTGGAACGATTCATGCCAAGGCAGATTTCGCTGCATCTAAACCAATGCAATACTGTAGAAAATAACAGTTTGCATTATTGGACATTATAAAAGCTACTTGCGAATATGACATGATCAAATGATCGCATTTTTACCGCCATTTTTAATGTTATTAGCAGTTCTTTTTGCCCATACAGGCCAGGTTTCCCTATTCTAATTGCAACCGACTCGGTTAATCCAAGAAGACGGGGGTCGGTGTTAGCACAAGCGATCCTAAATCGGCTTGTTGGGTTCGGACCATGATTCGTCATCAACAGATTTCAAGAGATAGATGATTCAGGTTGTTCGTGTGTTCGATGGTCTTGGTTAATGTTGGTGGATGGTTTTGTTGTAGTGTGGATGAGTGTGCTGGGGAGGGGTTGTGTGTGTGTGTGTTTGGAGAATGACCGTTGATCATGTAACTCGAGCAATCTGCGTCTGACTCAACATGGAGTGTGATCCTTAGTTTATGAGTGCAATGCCTAACTACTTTGCAATGCTCTTCATGTACATCCGATCTGGTATACTACTTGTGAATTAGCATAAATCGTGTAGCCTAGAGTGGTTGTGCTCTCTCTTCAAGGGTATCTTGGGGAATGACTGCTTCGGTTTTCTATTATTTTTATCAAAATTCAAATTATTGACTACTTTCTTAAGCTATCATGATTTGTGAAAGCTACATTTTATTTATACGTGCAGAATTATAGTTAGTTGCTTTGGTGAACTACAAACGGCCAAGTGTATGATGCAGTCCACTTTAGTCTTCAGGAACTGCAAAGGCAGGTGCCTACGAGCTATTTGGAGAAGATAATAGAATCTGCATTGAGTTCTTATACCTGTTCAATTTCTAGTGAAGCCGTTGTGACTTCAAGTGGATCAGTTGTAACTTGAAGCGAAAACGTTGTCACTTCCGCTGAATTCAACCAATCGCATTCTACTGGGAACCGCACAAAGTGATTAGTGCTTCATTTGTCACACGTCACCGATTGGACCGGGTCTATCCGAACCCCGTCCAGTCGGAATGACAAATAAAAGTACTTTTGGAGTGAATGAGGATAAAAGTTTCGGTGGAGTGGATTGAGTTGGGGTGGGGTTTGACTGTTCGTACCCCTGCCTTACCAAGGAAAGTTATGCCCTTGACCGTTGATCGAGTGAGCTTTCAACAAGAATGAGCGAACCCGGCGCTAATTGACTTTGGTCGGACGGAAGGGAAAGCGAATAAGGTCAAAAAGGATCATTGGATGTTGTTGTTATTGTTGTTGTACCTTGGTACAAGCCGGTAATCAGAGAGTCTCCTGTTGGGGTGCCACAGATCAGGGGAAAATGATCCAAACAAATCGTAGAGAGGGTCAGATGGAATTTACTTGCTTAAGATCAGGGGTGAGAGGGACAAGGTAACATGAAACGATGAAGCAACTGAACTGAAGTGAATGGTTGCATTGGGGGATTCAGTCTAAGCCCTGCGTAGTTTAGTGAGTAAATTTATCTAAAAAGGGTCTCCTCGAATAACACCGATTCCTTTGAGTCAACTGCAACTATCTACGTGTCTCTGGCATTACAAAGCACACTTGAACAGATACGCAAAACTTTACAAGGATACGGTGAGAGAATCAACAATATTTCCACTGAATAGCAATATCACCAGCTAACAGAAATTACATTTTTCTCCATAATTCCCTGATTGACCACTGCATTCTATGCACAATGGCAATGGTATCAACCGGTCACCTACAGCTTCTCTCTTTGTTACTCGGCTTTGTCACATAGAACCTCGTCCATGTTGCGCCATTCCTCACCCATCGTTGTATCTTTTTACAATCTGATTACATCAGTGTGATTCTTATAGTTCAGTGAATTGGAAGGGTCTGATACTTAATACTTATTTTGTAGATTAGATAATTTAGTGCGTGTCATATCGGAAATTGAATATCAATCATTGTTTTTTTTACTTACACAAAGCTCAATTTTTCAGAGATCCTAGTAAATGAACGGTTGACGCTTATAATAAACAATTCGCCCTATATGTAGATGGCATGATTATTACAAGGAATAAAGCAAAAAACAATACAGCATATAACAAAATATCTATTCTTTTGCACATTTCTCACGCCCTATTCCTTCCTCAGGAATTTTAAATTTGGACACCGTCTTGATTTTGGTTTTCTTTAGGGTGTTGCATCTACCACAATAAAGGCGTCTATGTGAAAATCTATACTCGGGGCATTTACCGTCAATACTTGTATGAGCTTTATGTACAGTTTAGTAGTTTATTGCCTCGCTGCGAACCGTAGACGAGGGAACGTATTCGACGATATATTGTCTGAGGCACTGAAATTATTTCACCTAACCCCTTCAGTTGTAAGTCACCCGAGACCAGGGTCCAACGGGATCACGTTAACTGTAGTTCATGCCTTACTTGCATTTAACCGTTCTTGTNTGTTATCAATTAAATTTGGCGAACATGAACAAAATAAACCGACTGTACTGAATCCCAATGGGGTGATTCAACTGGATTATGCATGAACTGTTTCTTTTGTGAAAACAGTGTATTTCGCTGTGAACGAAGTATCATGGTTTGCTATATAATAGACAGCAACCAGGCCTCTGTTTCTGTCTTACACATAATACGTAGTATTGTTCTGAAGTTTTGGGTAATTAGGACCCACCACATGAATGCGTGCTTAGTAATAATGAAAAAAATAAGACNTCGACAAATCATATAATGAAGCAATAAACCAGCGAGTAGGAGCTGCCCCAGTTGTGCAATAAAATGCAGCGTAAAAGTTCTAGTTGAGTGCATATAGGAATACTTGCTCATTGATTGTTATTGTACCTCACATATTTGGACAAATATTCTCTTCTCATGTTTGAGTCCGCTACGCGTTCAATAAATTTCACTAGGAATCGCTAATTTTGAGTATGAATCAACGTGAAGGATAAAACTACCATCAGTATATCTGAAGTGTTAAAAGATAAAAGACTGAAATTTGAAACTAAACGTCCGGTACCGCTCTAGTCACAACTAATAATAACATTCACTACTTAACCGTGAATCTTTAGTAGCTGCGTCTGAGCAGTAATCATGACGTTCACTGTTCGATCGAGGTTAGGTAGTGCTGCTTTTTTGTCACCAAATTCGAAGTGCATCACTATGTATAGTATGGTCGTTCTATATCAAGTTAGTTTGTAACGTAACCGATCGGAAAGCCTCAAGAGGCACGCCTCCACTTCGGTAACTTTGGTACTAATACAACTCGCTCAAATGTCGTGAAACCAGGAATCGTATGGGCGAGCTGACTGATTAAATAATATTTATTTCTATAACATTTATTTATAAATTGGATTCTCAGTTTGTATTTCTCGAGTCCTCATCTCTCACCTAATTCGCCTTCGTTGCACTTCAGTTTGCAGTCACTAAGCGTTCGCGACACAAAGGTTGATGCGCCGGCTGCACTTAATCAGAAGGTATTCAAAGTATAGTGCTCAAAACCACGATACAAAGTGAACGAAAAAGTACACACTGTGAAAACGTCAAGTGTGGACATCTCGAAGAGACTGATGAGGCCAGCAGTGAAGCGTGATTGCACTGATTCTCGGATAAATATATTTGTGCCTCACGCTGCGAAGGGAGAGACAAAATGGTAAACTTGGGGCTTCTGTTTGACCGTGCTTTCAGGGTCGATCGATAAACTGGATCACTGCCGATTTCATATAGCAAGAAAAGTGTTTTATCAGCGGAAATAGTTTGGAATTGTGCGTCCCACTCGGTTGTCTTATTCATTATCTGGATTCGGAAGTGATCGGTGGTGAATCGACTTTATATCATTGATTGAGAACAGTTCGTCTCGCTTGTTCTCCAACAAGCTCCTACACTAATATATATAAACCAGGCATGAACAAAACGCACGTACAACACTAATATTGGAGTGGAAGGAGATGTGTTAAATATGATTATGTTTGTGAACTGACTATTTATCCGAGGTATCCTGTTTTGATCTGTTTTTTCAATCAGTGGATTCTCATGTGGTCAAAACAATAATTTCCTACTAAGCTTCTTTTAATTCTGAATTCTAACAACCAGTCTTCCTTAAACCAAACATCCGTTCTTAAAACAATGTTCGTGATTCTCTATATTCGATAAAATATGCAGTGCTTTACCATGATAACTACTATATTTGACACTCAAAAGATTATTGATCTAATGAAAAGAGTGAACAGCTGATCTGCAGATATTGCTAAATTGAAATCGTGTCATAGTGAAAATTCATCTGATACGTGAGTCCATAAAAGTCTAATTCGTTAAAACCTTTCGTCACCGTTATCTCATTTAATTCTTACAATTCTTGTTTAATATGATTACTTTATTTGATTGTTAGAAGAAATTTATTCATCAGCCGATGTCTGTGTGCTGTACACATCACCGGAAAGCCTTGGAAGCAATATGAACGGACATTCCATCTTGAAAGCGTCTTTATCTCATTTACTTGATAATAATAATGGGGAATCGGGTTCATTGATTTGAAATGACCATCTTTCATACTCCATCTTCAAGCACAATCCTCAGTTCATGCAATCAAGCGTAAACTCCGGAAGCATTAGACCCGAGTTTTGCTCCCATTTGGGTTCACTAGTAGTGCATACCTACCATCTTAGCCGGTCTTTGAACTCCGGACCCATCTCACGGAAGGCGAGAGTTAACGCTGTTCTAACACCGGGACTGACTAGAATTGCCAATTCACTTTTGTTCAGATGTCGTCTTTAGAGGTAGTCAATCATTTATTTTAGCCATGGTAGCTTTGTTATCATTGTCTTTTGTGCGCGTTCACCAAGCTTGCCATGGCTCTAACCAGCAACTACAGCATTAAGATTCTCATATTACCAACAGGCCTCTAGGACCGGCTCTGACGGTGGGTTAGGAGCAATAGCTATCATATAACGGTTGCAGTGGTTGTAAATCCTTTCATGTTATTATTTTGATAAAAGTGTAAATCGGAATGCATTACACTAATCTCTGTTCTCGAAAGTTTTCTCTCATGTTCGCTACTCCTTGCTGTGCAGGAACAAAAGCGTCTAAAAGATCTCCAATCAGTTCGGGAAGAATTGGATAAACAGCTCAGCTACGGAGTACGACTGGAAGCCGAATTGACTCGCTCCAAAACTGCCAACAGCCGTTTAGAGCTTGGTCTGCAAGAAATGGTCCAACAGAGCGCCGTAAACGCACGACTTCATGAGGCCGAGAAGCGTAGCTTACAAGAAGCTCGGGACGCGGCGCTGAATAATGCTCAGCTCGAAATTGATCGACTACAGAAGGCAGTCCATAGTGCGACTCAAGAATACTCGAGCTGTTCGGATGAACTGAATCACATGAAAAATCGGCTGCTGGAGTGCAAGGTGAGTTTAGGCGCACTACCGATAATTGTTCGTCACCCATTTCACTGGTATAAGTCCGCAATAAACAAGTAAGCGGATATCTTTCATTATGTGATATCACCCAAATGGCTGTTAATGATATGTAACGAAAGTCCGATCCTACGCAGCTATATAAGAATTGTCATTTTTAGCCACCAGGTTCACTCGGAAACTTATTCCGCACGCTAATATCCTTGATCATTCGCCAAGGCCGGGTAAACAGCACACGAAAGCTGACGGAAACAATCTTTAATGCACCTGTGCTCTCCTTGGGATCATCGACGGGTAGTTGAAAGGTAGCGAGAATCTTTTAGAACTAAGGAAAATAACCATTTTTGTAGCTCATCGGTCTACAAAGTAGTCTCCTGCTATATGTTAAGCTTGTACGGTCATATTTAGCGTGACTAGAAACGGAGGGACGGGAGGGCCTTAGATCCAATCTTATTTCGTAACTTTCAATCAAAAAGGAGAGATAGAAAATCAAATATTCGACGGATAAGAAGCGAAAGATGATCACTAATAAAAATACTGACCTTCCATGCGTAATGTTTTCTCTAATTTTCGGGTGTTATTGGGCTGAGGAGAAGTACAGACTGACTAAGCATTTATTGGCGATATAGGATATGAAAATACAAATTATAAGCACGAAATAGAATACATTTTGTGTACGTACATTGTGGATAATCATAAAAAGTAGGAATAAAGTGCTTAGGTCGGGCCTATCAGCATATAGCTCAGACAAACTAATTGAAAACTGAGTATTGTCAGAACTTCCAAAACCCTGTGCCTACATGATCAGTTTCTATCAATTTTAAGTCGGATTACACATACGCAAGCCCGCCTCCTTCAGTGTTTTGATTCTAAATAACTTTCGGCGGTCCCGAATCGAAAATGGCTATGACTAAACAACGTATCATGGCATTTAGGGTGTAGTTCACAGAATTCAGCTGGAAGATATTTAATAAAATACTGCAATCGAGGTGGAATCAGCCAGATAGTCGTATTCGACACTGCTGTGTAATGTGAGCGAAATCGGTGTGCTAAATCTGCAAGAGCGACATGAAAAGCACGAAGACAACCATAAAGAGATCGAAGATGAGCGATCGACCAACGGGATGAAGAATCGATAAAAGTTTCGGACTATACTTTGTATGCGTTCCAAAAGAACTCCACGATTTTCAACTGGTACAAATCAACCAAAATAAAACAGTGTCATCCTGCTCAAAATGCGCCAACCTTATGTCAACGATATAGCCGTGCAGGCTACTCCAATCACTGTTTCTGAGAAAGAGCCATTGATTCCTGTCAGCTACATACCCCCCAAAAGTCCCAATTCAGAAGAAACATTTTTTTATAAATCGTTAAAGTGAACCTGTCAGAGCAGTGAATCTATCAGCAGCAATGAATTACCGATGATGATAGCACTTGATGAGGGCAGGTTGTTTCCCTATTCAAGTCAAACAGCTGACATGCATGTAATCAATTTTTTGCCAAATTTATGAACCAGTGAGTTCGTCCAAGTGTTGAAATATCACTTGCGCCCGTAAAACACTCTGTTACCTTATGGGTACGGTGACACCAAATAAAACATTGCATTTGATGTCGCTTTGAAAATGAGACAATTTATCTGTGCATAATGCGGTCTTTAGTTTTCGAGGACTTCCTCCTACGTACTTGAGCACTGCTTTGTATGATTTTTATGAATTTCTTAGTGCAACTGTTTGAAATAAAACAAATTCGAAATAGTATAAGTAATCTTCCGGTCGAGGTTTGATGGAAAACAGTATATGCTTTTAAGGCATAGCTAAGTGACTGGACATGGTTTCCTAGACTCATGTCGTGGTTCTTATTGTTCAGCAGGTATATGCGGGAATTGCTCATACTCGTCCAACATCCATGTCGCCACATTTGTTCCTCCCAACGCCTAATGTTTAGATTCTTCTTCTTCAGTATACAAGCATGAAATGGAAAACTGAAATGTATTTTGTACGAGTTTGATCAACACCTTTATACATGTTTCTGCTCTATCGCTTCTAGATTTCTTCATGAAATCGCCATAGGTAAGATGATTCAGGCAAACCTAGTGAAAGCAAAGCGTCTGTTTCATTAAAATGACTTTTAGTTCAGGCGTTTACTGGCTACACATTGAATATTTTTATATACATATTTATTATAATACCTTTCTAGCACATTGATAATTGTGTATTGCACATATCAAATAATGAGATAACACTTCTATTAAGATTGAGGAGGGAAACATTTCTTATTGTGTGCCAACGCATTCCATAGCCAATATAATAAAATGCCCTGATGTTTTGAGAGTAATGCTTTAACCAGACTAAGGTTCTGGTTGTAGATATTACAAGAAAATCCATAAACCTTGATCTGAGAAACTTGGCAGTTTTCTGCCTGTGAGAAAAGATGATTGATTCCTGATGAGCATAAGATAAACATAAGGTTGCATAAATTCAACGGGTTGCAAATTGTCTGTCTTCATAACTATCCTTCGATTTCAGAATAACTTGAATAACTGGAGAGAGCAAGCAGAATCAGCACAAACCACGCTGCATGAGAAAGAATCACAGCTGACGGAATTCAGAAAGGAGGTGGAACAACTGCGCCAAGTTAGTTAACAGTTTTGAATGAATCGTGTAAAAATACGACGTGGTGAATTTTGTTTGAATGATCATATAACCAAGGAAGTGAACTAGAAAAGGAAATGCGTAATCCAATTAGAATTTTTGAAACCCTAACAAAGTTTAAGCTAGTTTGGTTAGCGCTCTAGGTGATTCATCGAGTGCATCCAATCAGTTTGAATATCATTTTGTATTTGGGATCGATTTCATTTGTCACTCATACTTAATATCGATTCATTTTTGGTTCTGTTAAACTATAGACATCTAGGATAATGCACAGCTTTTAATCGAATTCTGGTAATTCTATTTAATTTTGAATCAGTCCAATATTGTCATTTCAGTAGGCAGGACGTTCAAAAAACTCGTCACCATGGTGTGGCCTCAGACAATGGGTCATCCGGATGTCTCTACATAAGTTTTACAGCCCATTTTCTCGGCTACTCATAAGTAGACACAACTGCAAACATAAATCTTGAGGTCTCGATGAACACTGTCTAATACATCATGTTATTCTTTTGTGAGAAGCGGCACTGAACTTTCCCTTCTGCTCCTTAGGGATGCGTGTGATACATTTTCTTCTCACTTGCTAAAATCAATTATAAACTTCTTTCGATCTTATTAGGTAAAGGTGACGCGTGAAAGGTGTTCTACTTTTTCACACATTGAAGATTTAAGGCCATCTCAGATTATGACTATGCATTTATTTCAAGGGGCCGATGGCTTCTTTGCAGTGAAAAACGAGAGAAAGATACATTGTGGGAAAATGCTGGTACTTTTAAAAGTCTTAAATAATCCGTATTCAATAATTGGTCAACGCCGGGGCATATCACACCTAGTCTTACTCGGACAACGTCTTCGGATTTGGTCAACCACGTGAATCGGAAACTTCGAAGAGATTTCGTGGACGTTCCGTTGTCTCCAGTCAAAATTATCTTATCGTATTTGGTGTTTATTACAGGTTTGTACAGGTATCCTTCATTTACAGAGTATCTCTATTATTTCAAGCGAGGTCACCTAATTTCAAAGAAATCCGTTGCAACGCCAAGTGAACTCGTCAATCACATTCTGACGGAAACTGCACGATATTTTGGTGCCTCTTCAGTCAGAGTTCGCGTTCTGAACCAAACGTATCACAAAACCCATCCATTCCAAGTGAAGTGGCTTATTTATAACCAAATTATTGTGCTTTTTAAGTGAGTTATCAAGCCGAGCTGAAGGTTTAGTAAAGTTCTGCAGCTGACCATTTACCCCTAGGAACTTTCTCATCTGACCCTTTATCAAGTGACGTTGTGAGCAGAATGAACTAACAGGACGGTAATTGATCTTGGTTAGTCGTTTAAGCGAGAAATTTGTCATAGGATAGATTAATAAACCGATCACCATGATCCGGCGAAATGAGAACTGTTTCAAGAATGGGTTCAGTCTTGACCCGCAGTGATTGAAATTTCACTGATTCCTAAGTTCCCTTAGGTTCTACCGGTTGTTTCGCATCAGATCTTATAGTTCACATTTTTGACAATGAAAGGTAATTAACACACTACTTTGCACAACACTGAAACAGAGCGAAATTAGTAGCAGTATTTTTTTGAAACAACACGAATAATCTTCCATTCCGATTAGTTACAGATCACCACAGAACGCAATTTTTATCATTAGCATTGCTGTGGCTATCGGGTTCTTTTGGCATAGAGAATAGCGACATCTTGACATCCAATACTCTACACATATGATCAGAATCAGTGGTCCGATCGTCATGTCACATTCGGTCCCCACATGATAGTAGCTCAATGGAGTAACTATTGCAGTTAGTTAGTTTCTTGAATCGCTTGCCACATAACAATTGAAAATGGCTTCCTTTTTCCAGATTTGTGTTCGCTGCTCTTTGGGAGCTAATGAACTCAGCCAAAATAACTGTTTTGTTTTAGGCCTCTTAAATTAAATCTCAACATAAAAAAGCGCATTAATCATATCCGAATTGCCATAATACTACGCAAATACCAATCTGGCAATCAGATGCATAAATAAACAGAATGACATACAAGAATCAAAGATTATTGTCGAATGACCAACCAATAGAGTTTAAGTAAATCCTGAACCATTGAAACTTGATTGTATTGATATCTTACTTCGAAAGAGGTTAGTCTCGCACTACTCTGTGGGAATTTATTGTCCAATGAAACGCAAAATTCAACTTTGTGCTATTCAAGGGACTGGATGAGATGACCCATGCAGTAGCCATGCTTAAATCGGAGGCCAATGTGGCGAAACTGAGCTACGAGGATCGCATTTCCCAGCTGCACTCCAAATGTGAGCAACAGGAAAGAGAAAACACTTCAGTTTCTCGAAGTCTCAGTCACACTCAGGCAAGTTCATACTCCGGACAAAGTTAGCGTTAAAGTAAATGTATATTTATTCTTTGTGAGTTAGGTTCCGTTGACTAAAGCTCAGAAATTACATGTCAACCTTTGAAGGCTTTTACCAATTCGCTGCAATTCTATGCCCTATTGAACTATCTTGATATATAATCAAGATTTCTTTCACATCCCATAACCCGTCTCTAGAAATAATAAAGCCCATTTAATTATAAACTTATCTGATGTGTTACCACTAGTAAGGCAGTGTTTGTCTTTATTCGTTCGGCTTCGTCATTATTAGCTATCTGGTATCATCATTTACACGGATCAAGGAGCGCGGTAGGACGATATCCACTTGCTATCACTATGATCTGCAGATGATAGCATGCAAGACATTTCTACTGATACAAAAATCCTGATATAAATGGATTATATCGATATCAGCCCAAGAAAATCGATCAATCAATCACTTTTGATCTTAAAACGTCTTCCTATCAAATGTGTATGATAACGGAGAGAAACCTCTCGAATGCATAAATCTACAGTTAATAAATCCTAAATTTCAATGTATGAAGATAGGCTATGTGCACCAGGAATTGAATAATTCCTCTTGGAGTAGTTCAACGAATAAGATTTTCTGTAAACGTTCATATGTGAATTATTGTCATGATTATGATGAATTCGTCGCATAAATGAGGCGTGAGCTGAAAATCTGGAAAGCACTGGACAGCTGTTTTAACCTGGTTGGGTCTCCACAACAGTGCGAATCCATCGACCCAACTTGGGATCAAGCCCGGGACCTCAAAGGTAGAACGCAAGCATACTGCCCACTGGGCCACCGAGAAGCTGATCATACCGTTTCTTACTTTGAATAACTTCGCATGCAACTTATTATTATTAAAATTTTACCATGAGGGGAGCTGGAAACGCTGGTGAAGATGACCAAATTTTCGGTACTGAAGCTTGGAGTAATAGACTGCCTAAAACCCAATAAGATAAAACGGGTTATTGAGCCGGTTCACAGAAAACTTGATAGCAAAAAGGCTGGGTGGCGTTGAGAGGATTTGAAGCGTAGGGCTTCACACACTTTAGTGACTGCGACGTGAATCATTCTACCATCATTATCACCACTACCACCATAGCCACCACAAGGACAAACACAAACTCAACTCAAGTGTCTATATGCATGTTAATATACCTCCATTCGGCGACCAAGTTTAAGACGTTATCAGCCATAGCTGATGAAATATAAAATATTGTCTTCACCGCAATAGTTTGTGTTCTGTTTGCCTAATAACACCTCTTCAATCAAATACCGAATAAATAATCCAGGCATATTTACCATGATTCCTTCCTCATCTGTCCATAAAATAGGAACTCTTGGCTCAAGAAAAACGAGTTTCTGAAGCTTTGCGCCAGGAACTTGAAAGCTCTCGGGCTAGCGCTATTTCTCTTCGAGATGATCTGTTGAAACGAGCAATGCATGAGGAGGAGTTGACACATCAATTGGATCAACTCAAAACCGATTTGGTCGAAGAGACGCGTCATAAGTTGGCGGTCGAGGCAGCTAACAAGTCTGCAATGGAGGAGGTACTTGTTTTATATAATACAATGTATTTGACTAATGAATGTCTACTTGCAATTTTCCCAGGAATCTTGTAGCATAGAGTAGTGTTTAGGGATAAACTTTCCTCAGTTGGCCAGTGTCGAGATGGAATCAGTGAATGGAAAAAAACGTGAACCTGGAAGAGATTCAAAGATATTTATTCAGAATAGTCATATTTTACTTTTTTTAAATATCCTCGGTCACCTTGATGTTCAATGTTCAATGTTCTTCAATTAGAGACAGAGGGTAATTTCCCGTATGAGCCTCAT